CGGAAAGACAACCAAAGATTTGACTAAAACCTGATTTCAAGCATCTATCAAAAAGGTAAAACAATCAAGTCCAAGAATCTAGTAACTACCAGTGATGAGGCATAAGTGGTCCTGGGCATTGAGTCCTTAGGACTTGAAACTCATGCACGGCAACAGATTGAATAACATCCAAAAAAAAATTACCTTTCTAACAAGGAACTATGAAGACAATCAACAAATAGAAAGGAGGAACAAAATTCTAAAGGATAACAGAGAAGGATACAAGTAGTAATTTTCACCACAGGTGAAGGTAAGAACTAGGAATGTGAACTTACTGACTCTGATTTTACAACCACCACTCTTCCAGGACTAAGATAATGCTGGGAGCCAGGGGACTGCATGACTGCCTCCACTATCTTGGTGCTATGTGTGTCAGCTTCTGAGGACATCTCATAGTACTCCTCTATTGCTGGTTCACCCTTTATGCATCTAAATGCAACACAGAAGTTTATTTAAACCCTATATAAAGTGGCACAAGTGATGCACTTGCAAGGAAGGTACACACATGTGATCATAGTCTTTAATTTGCTCACAACAGAAAGGGGGGGGGGAGGATAGCATTAATAATGCATATAAATGGTATTTACAACGAAAACTAAGATAGGCACAACCACATTATTTTCCTGGCAAGGGTTGGCAATGAAACAAATGCATGCAAAAGAATATCTAAATAGCCCTAGTTGCAAAATTTCTGCCATGATACTCTTCGCTGTGTCCTTACTCAATAGTTTTTGTTTGCTGGGCAAGCTTTCGCATTAGAAGTTGCTGTTTCTCGGGAAGTTTTTTCTGAGCATGGAATTCAGCAAAACTTCTTTTTAGCATATCCTCCACCTGCAATTTTTTGAAACAGATAAGCAAATTTAACCTATAACCACTACTGAGAAATAAAGCCATCACCCAATATCCCAAACTACTAACCAAAAAGCTCAATCCATGTACCCAATAATGTACCATTCCAGAAAAAATCAAGCTGATGGACATAAAATGTTGGCTTTAGATGGAGGTCCATTTTAGAGCTAACAGTGAGATATTATCAACCTATCATGTAAAATTTGCCAACTGTTAAAGAGTGTAACCTACATATCTCCTAGATCTTGATATTCTGCCAATGATGTACAGGACCGACCACAGCACAAACCAATTCTATTAACAGTGCCCTAACAATCTACTCATAAAAGAGAAACTTAAAATTTAGGCTAGAGCTAAAATTTCCCTGCAGTGTCATTTGGGCAATGGCTAAAATTTTCTGGACATGTCATTCAGTTTGCATAAACTTTGAAGCTATTCGCTCAATTGTCAGGAATTAGAAGTTAAGCTCTGCTGCTGAGATAGTTGACTAGGAGGAAATCATGAACACAATTGGCAAATAATTGCAAAATATCACACAAGGGGAAAATATGAAAAGAAAATTTGCCAATTGAAAGTGTACTGGCTAACATTGCAATACTAGGATTCCAATTTTCTATTATGACAGATCTTTATGTATTTGTATGTGTCAACAAGAAACTGGTTAAAGCAGCAACTTCAGTGAGGACACATCTATTACTAACAACCTTGATTAAGTAATATGTTATATACCTTCAGTTCTTCAACACGGAGGAGATGCAGGATCATGATATAGGTCAGTCGAAATTGAGATTCAAGCCTAGTTGGCCTACCAACTATCACAGGCTTTAGATCTCTCTCATCGGGGATTTCATCACGACACATGACAATAACTGTACCAGTCTCATCCAGTCCTCTCCTCCCAGCACGACCAGCCATCTGAGTATACTCTCCTGAGAGTAACTGTCTAAATTCCTTGCCATCAAACTTCCTTAAAGTATCAAACACCACCTGCCAAATAGGTAATGTACATGGTCAATGATCGACAAACAGGGTCGGTAAATGGACACACAGAGTGAAGTAAGAAGAGAGACTGTTTCACAAATCCATACTAATTGGAAGAGTAGTAGATCCTACAGATCGAATTCCTTAAGAATGAACTCCACCAAGGTAAGAAAAAGAGCGCCAAACTAAATCCGTATTTTAATGGCCATTGATTTGGTTACATCCCAAACTAATCAAGCCACCCTCCTATCAAACCCACAGTTCAAATGTTGTGGATCCAAAATCCTTGTCATGGCACTGGGCAACAATCATTTATCACAAACAATCTTTAAAACAAATTAAACCTGGATTTGAGTTTGGATACATAGTTAGATTTAAGGGTAACATCAGCAATAAAAAATTACCACAATTTTTTAGGGAGACAGTAAGTGCGAGATTTACAGAACACAATTCAACAGAAAAAGCTTGGAAGTATTATGCAATTAGAAACCCACCATGTACTAACGCATAAGTAATTACCTTTGAAGCATGGGTGACAAATGAACAGAAAATTACAGAGTTGACTTAGAACCAATGCTTGGCTATGTTACCATGAACAACCTGCTACCAGACGTGTAATTTACTTCTATGGGAAGTGTGGAAGCAAATTCTCTAAAGCTATTGACTTACAGATCAAAACTGCTTCTCAAACAACAATAACATGCAAATAAAAACATGAACATCAGAAAGGTAGAAGTAAAGACAAGAACTATACAAACTTTAAGGGTCAATTAATGGTACAACAAACCAGCACACTTTAAAATGCAGTCAAATGAAAATCTCAGGAAGATAAATGTAATTTTACCAATAGCAGGAATGGATGTTCACTTACTGTCCTTGCAGGGGCATTCACTCCCATTGCAAATGTCTCAGTTGAGAATAAAACCTGTGGAAAGAAAATAGTTTATCCAAATGACACCCCAACCCTGCCTGAGAAATAAACAGCGAGCAGTGACGCCAAAAACAAAATTTCATAATTAACCTAAACCACCGTCAAAGATTTCAGCAATCTGTAAGCTTTCAAGAATTTCATCATCACTTGGGCATCATTCTGTTATTACGATCCCTCCCACCATACTGATAAGTAATCAAAGGTAAATGATTGTCCAAGAAGATTTCTTGTTCTACTTTTGCTCATCTACATCCTAATTTCACTCGAGGCAAAATGCTCCCAAGTTCATATCAATAACTACTTTATCTGGATTTTCAAATCTTTAAACATTTAAACAATAAAAGAATTGGAAATTTTGATAAATGTTTGACAATCCTTTTCTTTGTGCTTTGCACATATTAATAGTTCACAAACTAATCAATACTTCTTGCATTGTCTTCTCAATATGCAGCACTTCTTATTTCTTTTAACAGTTACCAAATAACTTCAAAAAATTATATTTTATATCTTCAAAATCGCCTAGAACCAATTTGTAGATCTTGATCTGTCAACCAATGTCTTTAGTATCCCTGCCAATTTTCTGGTAGGACACCAGTGTCCATAGTTGATCATCTAAGTTGGCCTAATTTCTGGGATCAAGCATTGAATAACATGCATGCAAGCAAACCACTGGTAAAGAAACTATGCTTCTACAAGTAAACTACTTACCTTGACCAAACCACGACAGAAAAGCATTTCAACTACTTCCTTGACAATTGGAAGCAGTCCAGCATGATGCACACCAATGCCCCGGTGAAGAAGGCTTTGAACTCTGACAATCTGTATCACTAAAAGAAGTTTTTGAACTCTGGAAAATCTGTTAATAACACGTTGGATATACAGGTAAAAGGTTTCCAATTATACAGCACCTGTGGTAGGTTCCTATCGGACCCCTTTAGCCGTGAAAATGCTTTATCACAGAAGATCCGAATCTCACTTTTCTCCGAACTAGTTGTAAGGTCAGTTGTGGTCATACTATCAGCTGATTTATCACACCGATTCTTTGAGAAACAAAACATAACCACCTGAGCAGATGAATTGAGGTAAAAAGAAAAAAAAAAACTCAATTAGCAGTTATGCTCAAATTTAGCCTGACCACTACTGCAAACTATACAAGAGAAAAGTTGAATTTATTTGATCGCATGCATTTAAAATCAGCATGTGATAATGAGACTTTCTTACTGACTAGAAAAGAAATTATCTGGAATATTCTAATTAAAATTGATTCTTCTCTACTTGCACTATGTGACACCAACAGCATATAAGTTCCTTATAATCAAAGATATACTCCAAATTCTATATAAAATCCAAATATGCACACATACAGGTAACAAGGATTTCTTTGACAGCTTGTTAATCAGCGATAGCCACATTGTAGCCTCTGATCTCCTCAACCCTGTATTAGGGCCAAGGCCATGGCTTTTCTTTTTATTCCCTGTCATGTAACTTAAAAGACTTCATTATTCTTTTTCTTCCCCAAATTGTAAGATGTGAAATTCTGATTGGAGTCATGAAATATGTAGAGTTTAGTTCCTATCCACATGCTTTTATGTGGCTGATTAAAATGGATAACATGCAGACAGTCTTTTGCCATTCATTTCTCAATTTTATTTTATTTTTTGACTATTAGATATGTCGATGACTGACATCTACATGTTGATGTGACATATTGTGAACACAGATGTCTAAAAACTGATGAATTTAGAAATAAACCTATATCGCCCTAAGTTTCAGATTTGAGACTTTGAAATAGAAAGCATAGTTAATTTTACAAAGCAGATTTTAATATGTAATAATATATGTAAGATGATTATTCAGAAGTTATTGATGGGATTTACTTCAAGCAATTTAAATACCCATCTAGGGCCTTGTTTCCTTTGCTGCAATTAGGGCCAATCAACTGTTATTATGCAACAAGATGTGTTTCCTGGTTTTAAAATGATGAGGTCAACTTTCTTTTATCTAGCTCCATTTGGACCCATGATTAATGCAGTTGTCATATTCTCTTGAAAGTACTGTTGTGAAGTACATTGATACGGCTTAATAAGGGTTCACAATAGCAACTGTATCAGCAATTTTAGTGTCTTTTTACTTGAAACCTAGCTATCATGCTTTGTATCATAAGCACTAAAGTTTAATGGCTTCATGAGGTTAATGTCTTCGGTCTGTTCTTCATGTTTGCATTTGATGCAGAATTCACAACTATGTCTGGGAGACGGCTCCGTGATGCTGTGAAGGCAGTGCTTACTGCAAGTACTGGACAGTTTAATGGAAATGTGCATGTTGTAATAGCTGGGCTAAGTAACACATATTCTCAATATATTACCACCTTTGAGGAGTACGAGATACAGAGATACGAGGTAAGTGAACTTGTCATGCTACATGCTTATTTTTTGGTTGTTAGGCGGGGATTTTTTTGTTGGGGGAGAGGGATGGGGTAGTTTGGGTTTCATGATTCTATTTTATTCTGTCTCAAAGCATGTTACCTGGAGAAACAGCTGCTCTTGAAACATATTGGAAGATCATATAAGTTGGTTGAAATGCTGTTGTTGCCAAGTATACGCTCACTATAAAGTGTTTCTTTAAACGTATGTATCTTGTTTTCTGAGTAGATTTGGTAGTATATCATATCTCTTCGAGATTCATCATGCTCTTCCACAACAGTGGTAGATTTTGATGCTTGGGCCACAAAAACGTTGCAACTTGTTCTGTGTATTGGCACCTGTAATCTAATTAATCAAGTTGTTTAAGCCGCACCCTGTACTTTAAACTTCTTATAACGGAGCAAACGGTACGGAAGATAACGCTAGTAACAGCATACTGCATTATCATTATAGCATTTTAGCAATTTATACTGGATTTCTCTTCTCAGGGTGCCTCCACACTTTTTGGTCCGCATACCCTCAGTGCCTACATACAGGAGTTCAAGAAGCTCGCAACAGCCCTAAAAAGTGGACAACCTGTTCAACAAGGCCCACAACCACCAGATCTTCTAGACAAGCAAATAAGCCTTTTAGCGCCAGTTGTGTTGGATGCAACTCCCATAGGCAAAAAATTTGGGGATGTCTGCAAAGATGTACCTAAGAACTCCACCTTCAAGAGAGGTGACACAGTAACTGTTGTTTTCTGGTCCGCATGCCCCCGAAATGACCTCATGACTGAAGGTACATTTGCTCTTGTGGAGCTTCTCCAAGGGAAGGATACTTGGATTCCTGTTTACGATGATGATGACTTTTGCCTCCGGTTTATATGGTCAAGACCTTCTAAATTTAGCGCTCGAAGTCAGGCGACTTTAGAGTGGAGAATACCAGAAACAGCTGCTGCAGGTGTTTATAGAATAAGACATTTTGGTGCTGCTAAGAGTCTTCTGGGGTCAATCAAGCATTTCACGGGTTCATCCAGTGCTTTTGTGGTGGCCTGAGAATCCTCCATTTGGGTATATAGATTATAAGGTGATCAGATGTTTGTGCTTTGTGCACTTTGTCAGATATGAGCTTTAACCTGAGGAAACATTCTCAGAAACAAAGAGTGTTTGCTACCTCTTTTGGTCGACAAATTTCAGAGAGGCTCCTCGGAATTTGCCCTTTGCATATTTGTAGCTCCGAGCTCATGTATCATTCAACTTATCAACCACGTATTTTTTTTTTATAGTAAACGCACGTATATCACTCACTCTATGTCTATGGTTCCATTCCATATATATTTAGATCATTAACTTTTTTATTTTTTTAAGTCAGATGACCTTGAGGTTTTTAAATTTTAATTTAACTCTTAAATCTTTCCATCTTCCCTATGTAAAGTTAGGAATTTTCTCTTGAAAGTAAAAAAGAAAAAAGAAAAAGTAATTTGGATTTAAAGTAGGTGACTCTAAAACTTCTTCTGTTGAAAAAGTGCAACCAGTTTTTTTTTTTTTTTTTGGGGGGGGGGGGGGTGGCGGGTTCAAATTACGAAAAAATGCAGTAATTATTTTGAATTCATCTGGAGCTTCAGCCCTCTCAAGTCAATAAACAAACAGAAACAAAGAAGAGACAGCTTGGAGCTTTACATCGCGTTGTTTTATTTTTCTGAAAAACACGATTCGACAAGCGAAAAGGAAATTAAAGTGGGGATGCCAGGAGAAACGACATCGTAAAACGCCACCATCGGCATTACTGGTCGCGCCACTGTAGATCTCTCACTGGCAGAGCTCCGATACATCATATACGAGAGCACAACTCAAAGTACCCTCCTCTCCAAAAAAAAAAAAAAAAACAGCAAGAGCTAGAGCTAGCAAAGCAAAACTAATAAAGAGGAAAAAGGCAGTTTTTTCTCCCAAAAAGAAAAACAAAGAAAAAAGAAGAAGGAGAAGAAGAAGAAATGTCAGTGCAAGAATATTTGGATAAGCACGCGCTCTCCCGGAAAATAGAAGACGCCGTCAATGCCGCCGTTAGGGCCAAAACTCCCGATCCAGTCCTCTTCATCGTACGTCTTCAATGCTTATGGTATTTGTTTAATTAGCTTTTCAAATGATATGCTTTATTATGCATATATATACTTATTTGGTGATTATGTGACAGTCGAATCATATGAAGAAATCGGTGCCTTCGATGATTACGAAAGTGAAAGCGCGACAAATTCTCGATAGCAGAGGTATTCCAACGGTTGAAGTTGATTTATACACCAATAAAGGCATGTTTCGTGCTTCTGCACCCAGTGGAGCTTCCTCCGGAATGTAGGTCCTTTTCCTTACTGCTTACAGAAATACTAGTCTGTTGCAATAGTTAATCTAAGTGTAAATGCTTTGCAATGGAATTTGCAGCACCGCCACACTTGAGATCCCAAGCTTTTGATAATAATATCTGATTATATTCCATCTATCGGTTGACGTATTTCTGAACTCAGAAATCAATTCTGAACGAGTGTTGTTGTATTGATTTCCTGACTCTAGGTATGAGGCTATTGAATTACGTGATGGAGATAAGGGAACGTATCTTGGAAATGGTGTGAGCAGGGCTGTTAGAAATGTCAATGAGAAAATATCTGAAGCTTTGATTGGTATGGATCCTACTCTTCAGTCTCAAATTGATCAAGCCATGATAGACTTGGACAGGACGGAGAAGAAGGTAGCTTTTCCATTCTCTGAAGTCTTTTGTCAGAATTTTGTTCATTGTTATCAACCAAATAAAACAAAATAAAATACTGATCGTTTGTTTTGCACTGTAGACCCTGTATGACTTTGGATGATGCTGTATACATCATATCTATTCAAGCCATTTCATTTAATTGTTTACACTCTAGCACAAGATGTCATCCTAGGATGAACTGCACTGAGGTGTTGGGCAGTAGTATCCAAAACCTTGATAACTTTTGAGGTGTTAGGCCATAGCACCTGAAACCCTATAATCTCTTGTTCAAGACTTGCAATTAGTGACCCTGAAGCAGGCACTGTTGTTTGTTAGCCTTATAATCCAATTATAAGTTGCGAATCTGTCACCTTCTGCATCTCTAGGTAGTTTGTGGTGCAACTTCAAGGTGGATTGATACATTCAAATTTTCTTGGTTTGCATGAAAGATAATGATATCAATGCTTCCTTATAGAATTGTGGCCCATTAATGCCAGCTTAAATTAGATTGCACTTATCCAGTAGTAATCTTTTATTTTTAATTTTTTTTTTGTTGTAAGCAAATCTTTTAATTAGCTAATAGGAAATTGATATTCACAAGAACTTGAGTTGACACAAAAACACAAATCCTCGAATTTCTGTTTCATCTTCCTAGTAGTTTGATGGCACGAATAAGTCAGAACTTGATCATCATCTATTTTTGTGTCTAACAGAGAGAAAGGTGTCTCTTAATCATCATCTATTTTTATGCTTAAGGAAAAGAAAATATCTCTGTATCATTGTGTCTGTTTGCTATAACATACAACTGATTCCTTCCCTGCCTGCATATTTGTCTAACCTTTGCATGTTCCTTGTCATACATCAGGAAAGTCAATTAGTTTTCACAAGGCCTCTGCTCCATTTCAGTAATTTATTCCTACCTCTAAGAGAAAGTGCTTTTTGGGAATTCTTTTTTCAAGTAATTATTTTCTTTGTCTGGCATATTTTCAGTAATACTGCTGAATATTTATCTCTTTTCCTGAATGATTTGGAAATTTAGTCTTCTTTTTCACAATTTGGTGCTGCAGGGTGAGCTTGGAGCAAATGCAATTTTAGCAGTATCCATGGCTGCTTGCAAAGCTGGTGCAGCCGAAAAGGAGGCATGTGAATGCTCTTTTTGGCATTTAGTTTTCACTTAAACTAAACTAGAAGCGATTTATCTGCTACGTGTGATAATTTTTACTTGCAGGTTCCACTGTACAAACACATTGCAGTTCTTTCGGGCAATACAAATCTTAGTCTTCCTATTCCTGCTTTCACTCTTCTAAGTGGTGGAAAATATGCTGGAAATTTTTTGCCTGTTAAGGTAAGCTGTGCTTAGCTCCAATTACCTATATTATCAAGCTTTGTTGGTTCCTGTGATTGATTTCCTGTTTACACCTTCTGCAACATTTTATTGGCTACACGTGGTTGCTTCTTTCAAACCTTTTCTTAAGGTTCTTTTTTTTTCAACTCTGTGAATTTACATGTTAATTTAAAGTGCATATTTCTTAATGTTATCTGATGATTGGCTTGAAATTTGTCAGCAAATTATGATTCTTCCAATTGGAGCTAGACAGTTTGAGGAGGCACTGCAAATGGGCTCTGAGACTTATCATCATCTAAAGGTAATTTACCCTTTTGTTGTTAGCCTGTGGTTGCAAGAATATATTTTGCAACTGCAGAAAAGATATTGAGACTCCAAATTGTCTTTGTGCAAAGAGTGACTAATTAAGAATTTGGAACTCTGTTAAATGGTCCACTATCACTATCATAATCTGGCGAAGTGGATACTCCTGTCCTTGGGACTCCTAGGACAAGTATTTGAACAAAGTGACATGAGACTGTTCTTAAGCCTAGAACTCGACCTCTGCCATTGAAGGATGCCTTGACAAGCAGCTAGGTAAATGTTGAGAATTTTAACTCTTAATGGAAGACTTCGGCCTCCTTGCCCATAAATGTGAACTTTTTAAAATGGAAATTGTTATTGGCACTCCATATTTGTTATGACACTTTCTTGACTTTTTTTAATTACGCAAAAAGTTGTATGTAACCCTACTGTAATTGCAATTACAAACTATATAGTATTTGGAATGTAATATAGGGGTATGTTTGTCTTTCCGGATGATTAAAAATGTCAAAGGAGTGCCTACATCAAATTCGGTAGTGCCAATACCAGCTTCCCTTTGAAATTCCTATTACTAGGTCTTTACTTTGTACAAAGTGGAGCATGCTGCAAAATCTCAAGAATAACTAACTTTACACAAACATATTTCTGAAATTGCCCATTCTGTCAAGACCAGCAAAGATATTTGTGAAGGATGCAAAGTTTTGTACCAAAATTTTTTTCTCTGCCCCTCTTGTTTTAATCTTCTAGCTAATTTGTTAATTGTAAGCTTCATTCCAAAATGGGCAGGCCGTTATTAGTAAAAAATATGGCACTGATGGATGTAGTGTTGGTGAAGATGGTGGTTTTGCTCCAAGCATCACAAGGTAAGTTTTTTCCTTTTTTCCCACCCAAATCATTGATCTTTAATTTGTTCCATTTGACAATATATTTATCTTTGACCTGCTGCTTTATCAGCATTCGAGAAGGTTTGGATCTTGTTAAGGAGGCAATAGGCAGAACTGGGTACAGTGAAAAGTTAAAGATAGCAATTGATGTTGATGCCACCGAGTTCTGCATAGGTGATCTTCTTATTTTTTTTTGCAACTAATGGTGGTAAAATGGGAAAAAAAAGGGACAAAAAAAGGGGCATGTTGATGTGTGTTAGGCAAGAGTTTTAGTATCTGTTTGATACATTCAAATTTTGTGTGGACATTTGAGAAATTTTCAGATGAGGTATCAAAATGACTTTCCTTGGAAAAGATTGGAGTTTAAAGCTTAATTTGATTTTGGAAAGTATATGTCAGCTCTCTTTGAGCTGTTTCGGTTTAATTATCTCTAGCTACCTCTTATATTTGTTTCTGTCTCCTGGAAGACTGATTTTTGTTGTCTTCTCTGATTTAGGTACAAAGTATGATTTAGATTTCAAATCCCCCAACAACTCAGGTCAAAATTTCAAGTCAGGAGAGGATATGATTAATATATACAAGGATCTTTGTGCAGGTATATCTATTATATACTCCTTTCTTATTTGATTTATTGTTGTCTCTTGATGCTTTCTACCTGTTAGAGCAGGTAGAGTTTTTGTCACCTTACTAAGATATTCTAATTTCGCCTATTTTGCTTGTGGAAATATAATGTGAATTTGTAGATTACCCTATTGTTTCAATTGAAGATCCATTTGACAAGGAGGATTGGGAGCACGCCAAGCATTTTTCAAATCTTGGAATATGCCAGGTTTGTCTGACATTCTTCCTGATGATTACCGTGATCACTCTTGTTCATACTTAATAATTAGGACAAACTTAAACTAGTCATTGCTGAAGAGTAGGAATCAAATAGTAAGCTACTGTGAGGAATTTTTTTTTTCAATTATTTTCTCTGCTCGTATTATTCAAACAATATTGTTATGTAGTGAAATTAATTCATAGGCACCTAGTGGAACAATGAA